CCATTATATTTAAAAAAAAATTAAGAAATTCTTTATTTATAGCAAATATTTCAGAAAATATCTCATTATTAAAGTATTAATTAAAAACCATAGAAACTTAAATATGCGACCTACTTTTGGAGAAAAGTAAAAATATGAGCGTTTTTAAGCTAAAAGAAGGATGATTGATAAGTAGGTGCCATGATCACATGCCTTTTTTTATAAAATTATGATTTACACTCGTCAAAATCTTTGTGAGTAGCTTTATTTTATCGTAATCTAAAACTTTTTACTTACAAAAATACTTATAAAGTAGGCATTTTATAATTAAATTAATTCATTTAATTCATTACTAAAAACTTATGAATAATACTCATTTGCTTTCCACATGAAACGTCAGATAATTTGATACCATAATTAAAAATCAAGGTCGACCACAAAATACAATAATAAATAAACAATAAAAAAGCTCTTTTGGGGAGGTCACGACAAACTGCCTAATATTTTTGTAGACTGCCTCCTCTCTTTATTTTACGTGCAAACTGTCCAACGATTCAAGAGAGTGTTCTTAGTCTTTAGTACATCATAATATTGACAATGTTTACCGAAAATTTTGTTAATAATATCGTTGCCGATTGCGATCAGATAATTCCATCCACGACATTTAGACGCGTGTTGATAATTTGATAAAAAGTAATCTGTACCGTGAGTAAGTATAATATTTAAATATATTAATTTAGAGATAAAATCACTGACAACTAGATAATGAATTCTGAATTTATTTTTCCATACAGCTGATAAGAAGCCGGTAAAGAAATGCTATATTTTAAGAAAGTTGCTAACGAGGGTTGTAACACATAAGTGAGTCAAGGACTTAGTATTCGGGCGAGCCAAGCATCAGATATTAAGGCGGGACTTTGGCGGTGGGCCGAGCTTAGGAGTAACGGGCTTTTGGATTTACTGTTCTCCTAAGTAGTGACTTAGCGAAAAAGTCTTCCGCAGTCTCTTTACTTAGTTAGATTCCACAATATTGCGGTCCCTACATGTTCTATGGAGGGGTTGATATAAGTTGCAGAACTTCAACGGTACAAAGTCAGTCCAACAGTTTAATTCAAAACATTATTTAGCCAGCTGTATAACTTTAAAGAAATAGATCAATAGTAAATTTTAAAAATAAAAATAACCAAACGAATGATATGTGCTTTAGTCCGTGTTACAGAACCTCTCTTATCAAATTATTAACGTCCCCCTAAAAATTTCGTTAATAGCTTTATCTCATCGTAGTCTACAAAATTTTTATTTACTAAAATTCTGGGAATTGGGTCATTTTCAATCAATCAATGGAGATCGGCAAACATTGTCTATTTTTTTTTTTTTTGAGTATTCAGTTTTTTATAGTTATTATTGAATAATAATACAATCTGCCCCATGAAGGGCAACGTATTAGGAATACAAGAGTTCATTTATACAATATACACAAAAAAAAACAGGAAACAAATATAAATAATTTTAAAAAATATATATAAATAAATAAAAATAGTATTCTTAAACACATTCATACCCATTATATATAATGTCTACATTCGCCCAAGAAACTCCGAGACAAGGTTTGTCCTCCATACGCGAAACACTTAGAAGTTATCAGTGCTTCTCTTCCAGCCACGTCACTGGTATTAGAAGCCAGTGGAAACTGAAGAAAAGCACTGAAGCTGAACAGTGCCTGGACTCAAAAATCAATTTTACAAAATGTATCGGTGCCACTGCCGTTTTAATCATCGAGGAGGATAATATGGATGATCAGAAAAAGATAGGGAATGATCTAGAGGATTATGATGATGAATAAGATTCTTGTAAAAGTTTGTAAATCTGGATGGGATAATGTCTAGGACATATGGGATGTTAAGGTCTTGTTTGTGACATAATAAGGAGCATTGATTATTGTTCTGAGTACTTCGGATTAGACGGATTGGGTAAGTTTGATATTCGAAAATTTAGCATTCTCCACAGTTCAAGTCCATAGGTCTAGATAGGTTTTACTACAGTTTTGTAGATTAACAATTTTAAGATTTAATAACTGCTTAATTAATTTTTATTGATTGAATGTGATCAATGAATACAATTAGAAATGAGCAATGTTTTTTGAGAACGATTGTAAAATTTTTCAAGATATAAATAAAAATGGAAAACTAATGAACACCAATTCGCTTTCTGCTTGAATCTAAGATAATTTGTTCACGAAATCGAGAAAAAAGGTAGTCTATAAAAATATTTGGCCACTCGGCGTCCACATTTCTTTTTTTTTTCCAACTCCACTACCAATATCAAGCAACGAGGTTATGTAAGCCAAATGGTCCAATACTTTTGTATTCCATGATTTTTTTTTAATTATGTAATCAAAGTATCTTAATTTTTAAGTGAAAACAAACGGGTTTTTAGTACTTAATTTATTCATTTAATTTAATTCCACTAGAATCGTATGATGATTTAATAATAATCTTATATTTTTGTAAGCCACCTTTTTTCGTGATTTCGTGATGAAATTATTTTACGATTCAAGCAGAAAGAAAATAGGCATTTATGCGATTTTTTTTAATACTTCAACCACTAGTGTCATTATTGCCTTATTTTCATCGAGAATTAGATTGTATTTTCAAGTTTAGAACATTTCAGAAAAAAAAAATAATTTATCAATTTCATTCGTATTGTCCTGTAAAATGAAGTGTAGATCGTTTGTCAAGTCACAAGATAATATAATTGTTTCGTAAGCAATCCATTCAGTTAAAATGTGTTTCACTAGATTTAAGTACATAATTGATTTACTGAGGAAACGTTCCATTTCTGAGGATTTTCGTTGATAAAAATTGTTTAGGTTAAATATAAGATGAAGCCATTCACGAAGTTTTAGGTGGATAATAGTAATAAATAACTACTTCTATTTCTAGTCAGTTAATAAAATTTATTTTAAAGAGAAAATACACATATTTAAAACAATATTTTATTCCATTTAATCTTGTCATAAAATTATTATTATGTGGTCGTTGCAAAAATAATTAAATTGTATTTTTATTTATCGAGTTTAAAACTAAGTTTTCAAATATATCGATGCATAATTAAACTTTATAAAGTGACAGTATAGATTCATTCTACTAAAGAAAATTTTGAAAAATATCCATTTGATTATAGAGAATTGCGAATATTTTGTAATATAAAATATTTAAATAAAGAGAATTTAACTTTGAAATATACCCAGAGATTTAGCTAAGCCTTTAGAGACGAGGGCTAATTATACAGAGAAATTACCACCTTTCCCTTGAAACTCGAGTTCTAATATTTCTGGCTAGATTCTGTTTTTAGCCAGTCCACAAAGCCCTCCCCTCCGGAATGGGATTTGCATACATGAAATTTTTCTTTTCTTCCTTTGTCCTCTCAGCGGCTCTCCTCTTCCTTTTTTATGGCCTTGGACTTTTTCGTTTTTTTTTCCCAGTCGTACATTGTAGGGTCAGACCCTGCATATCCCGCCTGTTATCAGGGCAGCGTTCAGCAGGATATGGAAAGAAGAATAATGTTTAAAAAAAAAAGGATGGAAGAAAGAGATTTTTTTTAAAAACCCTTAAGGGAAAATTACGACAATGAAATGTCAGGGCGATTCTTTTATCCGATGTTGGTCTCTTCTGACACAAAACATCCGGTATGAAATATATTCAATTAATTTCTTAAGAAAATAACGTCTCTCATGAGTTTTTACTTCAAATATAAAGATGTATACATACACAATCCTGTACTAATGATGGATAATGCCAACACTCAATACAAGAAGTATTTGATACCTTAGAAGTATGAATAGAGTTTAAGCAGAGATCTAGAATCACGGCAATGGTCTTGAAATTGTCCTGTCGGTATAAAACGTAAAATGAGGATGATACATGAGGATGATATAGCTCTTCTCAGAAGCAATCAATAGGATGTTTAAAGACTCGCTAATACTCTGTCAACCGATAATACTCTGTCAAGTCAACCGATGTGCAAGCGAAGAGGTGCACATCGGCTTAGAAGTAAATGAATGTAAAATAAAATATATTTGTTTGGTAGTACCTTGAGAAATCTACCCCAATAACAGCAACAGTAAACCTATTCAAAGCTTCATAATACACTCAGCATATGAATTAAAATATCATATATTGAAATACACATACCAACAATAGAAATTTCTGTCTATCAAAGATACTTAAATCTTGAAGTATCTCAAATTGTGTATGCAATGAAGAAGTCATTTTAAATGTATCGCTGCGATATCTGCATAACAACCAGCACCACAGGAAGAAGTAACAGATCATGTAGGTGTCTTCCGCATACGATCTGAAGCGATCTATGCCTCGTGATATGAAGTCAAGGAGGTTAAGATCGACGCTGCTCGTAGCTCGAAGCAATCCTTCAAGAAGCCTGCTTAATTGAAGTTCCTAAATTAAGTTGTTCTTTTCGACATTAATAATTATTTTAGCTGTATCATATAGAGAAGAGGATGTGTCTTGAACCAGTTCATAGGAAGTTGGTTCATGAACATGCCCAACAGATCTATAAAAAAAGCAAAGATACAGGACTTATATCTTTTGTATTTCATGAGCAGGACATTTTTAAACACATGTCCTAAATTGAATTAGACATCACCTTGTATGAGATTAGAACTTAATGGAATTTAAAGAAGGTATTGGCTGTTCAAGGATAAGGTTCAAGAAGGTTAGATTACTTTAATTGTTTACACAAGCGAAAAGTCAACCACAGCTATCGTTTGAGTGACAAATATAACAAAATATCTGGTAGTTGTTTTTATTTCCTACAACAAATTCCATAAATAGAAACTGAAATTAAGTTCCTTCGACCAACATGATTGTTTCTTTTTGGATTTTCCAGATCACTTCCATGACAAATAATTACAAGTAATTAAATATATCTCAAAACTGTAAAGAACGCTACTTGTAAAATTGAAAATTGAAACTTTAATAAATTGAAAATGATGAACGTACCAGGCATTACAGTCGGAGAGATCATGAGGAAGTTGATGCAGGCAGCTCCAGTACCGTGGCCTACCATGGTCACGTTGTCTGGGTCTCCTCCGAAGAGCGCGATGTTCTGCTGGAGCCAATGCAGGGCTGCCACCTGATCCATCAGCCCGTAGTTGGCAACCCTGGCCTTCCCTCCAGGCGACATATTTGGGTTTAGAAATCCTGAAAGTGAATTACAGTTATTATTGCTTGTATATTGTAGATTGTTTGTGTAAGGTATAAAAAAAATTAAGCAATGTGTACATTTCTACCATTTATACAAAAGCTAAAACATATATTAAAAAAAAATTTATAATTATAAAAATACAAATACATTAAAAGCAACATAAAAATAAAAACAACGTTAAGAGAATAATAAAAAGAAAAAGGGATTTGAAAACAATTGAATAAAAAAATCTATTAATAGTTTTGGTGGTTGTTTATTTGTCTTGTTTGATGTTCTAGGCGCAAAACATCTAGGTCATCAGCGACTTACTCATAAAATATTTAGCATAGGTATAATGAGGAAAAAACAATAATAATAAAAAAGGAAAACAAATTAAATAAGAGAAAAAGATAAATAGTAATTATTATTATAGCTCTTTCATTAAATTTACCTTTGTTGGAAATGTTATTATTTTGTCAGTTCTGTTGCTGTCGTTTCCTAAGGCTAATGATATGTTTTGTGATATTTCTAAGACATTTAATTTACTAATATAAAACGGACAATCTTGGAAAATGTGAGTTATGGACAGGACAATAGGTGGAGCAGCTTTCGTTGGTCAGTCTTGAGTGTCCGATCCTAAGCCGAGCAAGGACGAGGACTGCTTTAATATTAATTTAGTGAATAAAATTGACATAATTTAGCAAATAAAGTTATATTTAATAATATATATTACATATATATTTTCAGACAGAGTTACAAAAGAAGTCCAGAGAAGAACAGCATTTGATTGCAACAAGTTCTGGTCTCTGAAGTACATAACAAAAGGGAACATGAGTATTGACCTAAAAAGGCTAGTTTTCGTTAGTTGTATTGTGTTGTGACCTATGGTCATTGACAAAAGCCCAAGAGAGGAAGATCAAGATGTGGAAGCACTATGAAAGTAAAAAAGGGCTCAAAGACACACTCTCGCAAATAAGAAAAGGCAAATGGAAATGGGCTGGACATCTATTGCGATGCAATGACAATTGATGGTCAAAAATAGTCACGGAATGGACTCCATATGACCGAAAAAAGGATGAGAGACCGACAAATGAAGAGATGGAGAGATCCATTTAGGCTTTTGGAAGGACCTCTCAGGTGGAGAGCAACTAGGGACAGATATGTATTTAAAGAAATCCATCGTTCCAGTAGGGCTAGTCACCCAGGAAAATGTTAAAGACTATCACTCCTAAGGGAAGGTATATGCAAGAATAGCAAACAATTTTTTTATAAATTATAAGAAGGTAAAAAATTGTTTTATTATGTTTTTTTTTCTTTTGTAATTGTCTGTTTTCATAGAAATTGTAATATTTATGCATAAATAAAGGCTATTTTCATTTCATTCGTTTCATTATATATATATATATATATATATATATATATATATATATATATATATATATATATATATATATATATATTATATATATATATATATATATATATATATATATATAAACTATTTTACATTTAAATAGTTCTGTATTTTTTAATTTTATTGAATTGTACCAAAATACAAGACAATCTAATAATTAATATATTTGTGAGAAAAAAACTTAGGGAAGATATTTTATAATCAACTCCACATTTTAATTAATATTAGAATATATCTAAATAAGTATTTAATAATTTATTTAAAAGATAAATCATTTCATAAATTTTTTTTAATTTCCAAAAAAAAGGTTTTATTAATAACCAGCAATAAATAAAAGAGATTTTTTTTTTACATTTCAGGTAACGACTTTAGAGAAGGTTTAGCTATAATTGTCTGTTTCTTTGTGAGGAGATATTTTTTTATTTCCAGTATCATTCATGGAAAAAGCTATTTGCATCTGTCTATTGTTATGAAATTTTTTTTCTTTTTTTCTTCCTTTGATTACTAAAAAGATTGTTTCATATTTATATTTCTAACTCATCCACTTATACCATAGTTTCAAGAATGCTTCAACATGGAACATTTCTTCCCGATGGATTATTTTATTTTTTCTAGGTTCTATAATAATAATTTTTTATTTGCTGTTTTTTTAATATAGCATCGACTGTCATTAACGACGATGAGTCTTGTAAATATAATTCGTTTGATGTTCTTCAGAGTTTTTTCAATTACACTTTTTTCTTTGTAAGAAGCTCATAATCAAATTATGAGTTATATTCGTTATTCATGGTATTTTTCACACTTACATATATATGTTCTTCAATTAGGTTAGGGACTTCACATCTTTGACAAGATGGTCGATTCAGTACAAGATGTAGGTGGATATGAATTAGCTTGGTGTGTCCAATTCTAAGCCTGCTGATGATGAAACTCCCTTTTGATGTAAGGTGTTTAGGAGGATGCCAAGCTTGATTGTCTTCTTTGCACAGTTGGAAGAGATTAAATGGCAGTTGTTCCCACTGTTATTTTTTTATTATTATTGTAGTTTGTAATGTTTTTATCGTATAACAAATTTATATCAGAAGTTTTTTTTTTCATTACATTTTGTTTTTCTCTGTACGAAGAACATGCGGTGTGATCATTCGGAACTACAAATGTTGTTTATAATATTAATTAATAATTTTAAACATTAAAATAATTCCCTAGGGCCTCACTTTTTTTTTTCATCAATATACTGTTAATACCATCCCAAACGCAATAAAAATATTACTCGTTATAATTAACGAACACAGTATTTCAGCGAAGTAGTGTCTAGCTTTAATAGATGAAACCTCTTCAGTTCTCTCACTAAGCTAAAATTATTGGAAAGCAATTAGCCAACTGCGGTTCTTCATCTCGCTTAATTAGGAGGTTCGACAAATAAGATACAATAAAATCTAGGATAAAGTAGAGTAATGTTAGACCGTTAATATTAGTAAACAATATTAAAATAAATAATGCAAGGAAGGAGAAAAATATATGTTAACGTGAGCATATCACTGACTAAAATTTATTTGGTGGAATGTTTACATGTGTAATTATTGAGGCATTCGTTATTGTGAACAGGCTTCCTAATAGATTTCTCTGAGCTTCATACCCCGCCCATCTTAATGCCCTTGCCTCAATACTGTTAGATATGGATTGACTAGTTTCTGTAAACTGTTCTTTATTGGTCTAGTCAATACACATTTCTAAAGAAATATTTGATCATATTTAAATAAAAGATTTCTTCAAATTTCCACTTCATTGTGCAATGTATATTTGAGTAAAACATTTTAATTTATTTTTGTATTTTAAAGTTAAACAAAGTTTATTTCATATTGATATTTGTACATTAGAATAGATTACTGATAAAGTGAATCTTTTAAAAAATGTAGTGCAACATTAAGAAAAATCTCTACCCTTTTTAAAATCGAAATTGAACGAATGGTATTTCTTAAATTAATGTTTTTCTTAATTTCTAGTCACATCCTTCAGGTTTGGTGCCATTTTCTCATAATTTTTCATATATCTATTTTAGACCAAAGGTCACCAAATATATGCAGTTCTTTTATCTCCTGTATGCTTTATTCAGTTTCGGCTTCAGGAGCCATTTTCAAGATCCTGCAAAACTAATTTTAATTTAGTTTTTACCATTCAAATACACAATTATCAGACACATATTATTTAACAACCACAAGTAATACAATTAGTCCAAAATTTATTTTTAGTTTTGAATAAATGTATATCATGCACCTACCATGCACCGCGCCATAAAATTTTTAAAATCTATCATTGCGATATGATTCGTCTTTAATTCATTCTTTTATTTCAAAGAATGTCGTTTTCCATTTCTAAAATGTTGAATAAAGCATACAGGAGATAAAAAACTGTGTATATTTAGTGACCTTCATAGATATATGAAAAATTATGTTTTTCTTAATGCTGTAACATTGACTCATAATTTTTATGTTTAAAGTCTTATATTTTATTCCACCGTGAGAGGTGAAAATTGATTATTAAAAACTATTAAAATAAAAAAAAAACACATTATAAGAGAGGGGATCAAATCTAATGCATTATTGATAGTACGAGTTTTATAATTATTGTAAAATAAATATAATCGTAGAGTTTTTCCGTTTATCAGCGAACATATATATGCATACATAGCTATGCAGATCGTAATTATATAGGCAGTCAGTAATCTAATCCGAAATTGTAATTTACTGAGCAAGGCAAGATACATGCCAGTATAATTAGGTCTACGAATTCCGAATATTATGTTGGGATATAATTTATGTATGTTGTGGTATAACTTGGTTTAAATATTATTCATTAGTTATTTTATTATTTTTATTTTAATCTTATTTTGATCTCATATTATAAGCGATGAGGATTTTTTTTCAACGCAATCATATTTGCAATTAATGGCCAAGAGACCTACTACATCAATAAAAAAAAAATCAAGCAATTACACCAAGACAATAAAAATACAACAAATTTGCTAGATGCGCAGCTGCAAATTGCATATAATAAAATAAATAAATAAATAAGGTTTTATGAAGGATTACAATTTTATTTTTCAAATATATTAATATTAATTTTTTTTATGTTTTTGAATGAATAGCAAGCTGAATTTTATTTTTATTTCATCACACCTTTTACTGATGGAATTTAATTAGTAAATTTCCAAATCAATATTACTTTTTAAAAAATAAAATAAAAATATATTCCGAATTTTTCCGTATATTAAAAAGCCATATAAATATTATCGCTCTTCAATGCACATGAATAAATTATGTAAATAATGAATTTTAAATAAAATAATATTAATGTAAAACACTTAGACAGCGATGTCTTGAATCCACTTGTTTTTTAATGGACAATACCGTAGAGTTTGAGGAATCATTCATATACTTCGGAAATGTGGTCAGTAAAAAAAGGGTTCATTGGAAGGGTTTAAGCGGAACAAAAAAGCTAGTGAGATCTTTGTTGAACAATATTCAAAATGAAAGAACAAGAAAGTGTCCAATAAAACAAAAATAAGGTTGTTTAACACCAACGTAAA